GAGGTGGGTAAAATGAGGACCCGGATTGTTGTTGGGGGCAATATGCTGACTCTGTAAACCGCTTAGAGAGGGCTGAAAGCCCTATGAAGCGGTATATAAAAATATGCTATTGCTATTGCTATTGCTATCTTTCCCTAGTTGAGGTAAAGATGTTCTGTGTCTGGTACTCCTAATACTATTGTATTGTGGTTTTGAAAAAGAAAATGCCTCTTACATTTTACCTCTTAAACACTGGTTTATTGTGATCTCTGAGAGCACTAAATTTTCCCTTTTACAGCTAAAACATAAGTGAGCATTCCAATTTAATTTATACGTTTTTATGTTACTTATGAGGAAAATGACTGCATTATTATTTCTGTAAAATTATAGTTTCCAAAATCTTACGTGCATATATTTGATTAACAAGTTATACCAAAATTGGGTTAAATTTGCAAGTGTTACATAAAATAAATCCCTTTGCATAAATTTCTACTTTAGGTATGAAGCCTGGTATTGGAAGTCTTTAGGAAACCAAAGGTGTACTACGATAAATACATTTTTCATAGTTCATTCTAAAATAAAAAAAGAATAAGGATATGTTAACCTTGGAAACAGATTGAGTAGGAAAAGCTATAGCATATATTTGAACTAATGTATTGTTCTTTTTTCTATAGGTGAGCAAGGCATTATTATGCATGCATAAAACTGGTTCCCAACCTGGAGAGTTTCATTACAACCACTTAACTTCGTTAATGAATCACTGAAGAACATCCCAGGCCACCAGTGCCAGTTGACAGAAATCAGTAAAAATTAAATGAAGATTGGCTCTTCTGTACTATGGGATATATTGTTTGTGGTTCAGTACCAAATCAGTTGCTACAATTCCTGTAACTCCATTAATTTCTTCTTAATATTGTCAAAAACTTAGGTTGTTATATTTTATAATTGTCTCTGTACTAAATAAAGTTGGAGGTCACTTTTTGTATATATTTGTTTATGTATTTTTTGGTCACTTGTTAACTTTTCCCTTTTTATCCTTTTCCTCCTTTCCCTATATATTTGTTTGTATTTTTTTGAAATTTAATAAAGCTTTCTATATATATATATATAAGAGACCATGAGAATCCTGCTTGAAAAATGAGTTACTGTTTTAGGCAAGTTCTAAAGTGCCTATCTTTTTAATGACAGTAGTTGACCATTAAAAGATTTATATATAAAAAGTACTTAAAATCATTTGAAACAGCAGCATATATAAAAAGGGGGGCTGAAGAGAAATTATTACATACCGTAGCTCTAACATTACTCCATCAATATTGTCTCTGTCATATTATATTTTCCATTATGTGCACTATTAAGAAATCTAATTTTGTCACTAGGTTACAGAATACATTGCGATCTCAAGGAAGAAATACTTTGGCTAAGATTTTTCTAATATGTCCTTGGTATTATTGCTTACATTTTTTGTTTTGTTTTTTTAAGAGAAAAAAATGGAAACTTGTCTTTTCAATTCACATTTTGGGAAGAAGAAAAAGCATTTATTAATATATCTTTGTTTCCTTGAGTAGTAATTTCAGTCCTTAATTTAAGAATATTTTTCCTGTGACTTGATCACACAAATTCAGATTTTTGAGCAAACCCCTATCATGAAATTCAATCAGAATAGAGCTGGAAGGGACCTTGAAGGTCTTCAGCCCACTGCTCAGGCAGGAGACCCTATACCATTTCAAAAGGAGTTCTTTTCCCGATAGGTATACCATGCAAATTTACACCAGTCTATTGTTTTCTTCCAGGGGGATAGTAACCCTTTGTTATCAAAGCGCCCCTGACGGGAATTCGAGATATATCGTAGGCTAAGAATCGCAACTTTAGAGGAACCTCTGCAGATATTCAAAACAGGATGGGCTCATGGCGAATAGCTTAATTACACCCATGCTTAACGTGAGAGTCTTATCGTTTATGTAGGATTTGGAAAAGCAGAACTCCGTCCTCTCGTATCTGACAGGAACAATGGATAAGAAATGCTGAGCCAGGTCGGAAACAAATCGCATGGGCCATCAACGGGAAATGTTCCACAGCTCTAGCCAGCAGAGCTTCAGCCTTCATTCAGGTCGTTTTTCTGAGCGAAACGGAAGATTTCCTCCGTTCCTCATCACCTCAAATTAGTGGCGGGCTCTGAAACGCGCATGCGCGTCGGGTCGGCCGCTTTTTTTTTTCTCTTTTCTTTTCTCTTTTCCCCTAGTGTCACGCGCTTGCGCATCGGGTAGCCGTGGCCGGGCGAGAGCGGCAGTCGTATACGGGAAAAGGCGGTTGGCTGAGCCGCCGCCTTAACAGCTGTTTCTCTATGAATCCGGAAGCGCGTCAGCATGCGCGGAAAAGGGCGCGTGGAGCCCGAGCGGCCGTTCGCTTTCGGCGTCGGAGAAAGGCCGCCGAAATGTCGGTGTCCACCGCGTGTGCTCTGTCGCGGCCAGGGAGGCAGGAGCCGCCGCCACCGCGGGTCAAGGCGATGCGCGGGGACAGCCGGGAGAGCGAGGAAGACGAAGAACAGGCGGAGCCGCCCAGACGGGATGGAGAAGCAGCGGCAGAGAACACCCTGTGCGAGCGGGACTCTCTGCCGCAGTTGGCGACCACGAAGTTGGACGGGAAAGAGGAGGAGAAGCAGGAACGGGAGCACTTCCGGAGAATTATCAATGCCTTCCGTTACTATGGGTAACCGATTCACTCCCCGCTTACTCTGATACCTTACTCTGTGTGCAGTATAGGACCTTCTAACTCGGATCCACCAATTCATAGCAATATCTACTCAGGAGGATGGGGTGGTAGTGGTGGTGGGGTTTGTGTGAACAAGGGCTAGAAATAACAGGTAGTTCTCGATTTACAACAGTTCCTTTATTGACTCTGAGTTGCAATGGCACTGAAGAGAAAGGGACTTGGGACTATTTTTCACTCTTATGAGGTTGCAGCATCCCCATGGTCATGTGATTTGCATTCGGAGCTTGACAACTGGTTCATATTTATGACGCAGCAACCCGGGAGTCATCCTTTGCGACCTGATAAGTGAAGTCAATGGGGAAGACAGATTCACTTAACAACCGTGTTACTAATTTAACAACTGCGGTGATTCGCTTAAAAAATGTGGCAAGAAAAGTGGTAAAATGGTATTAAAATGTGCTTAACAAATTTCTCACTTAGCCACATAAATTCTGGCCTCAATCATGAGTCAAGAACTACCTGCACCCATTTCAAGCCTGGCCTCAATCATGGAAACTCATTGAGGGACTTGACCAGTTCACTTTCTTTCAGCCCAATTTGCATCACAATCAACCTTAAGCTCTAGAGAAAAAGCTGGGATACCCATTTAATAAATACACTGGGACTCACTCTGAAATAACATGCCAATCTAGCATTATCCAGAAGTTTTGAAGCCTAACTCTTAGGGTTGATCTCTTCGAGTTGTTCCACCAGAAAAAATTGTTGAGACTATCTTGGATTACCTAAAGAACAAATTGGTTCTTTATGTAATCAATATATACTACATAAACAAACAGTGTATGTAATGTTTATTGGAGGTGGTGACCCTTTGAAAGTTGTATGCAACGAAATTTCATTTTAATGTATGCCAATTAGTGACAATAAAGTTATTCTAAGTTCTAAGTAAATTATATTTAAAATTAAAGAAAATAAAACGAGGCCACTTGTGGAAGCACTCACAAAAAACTGCAGTTTAAATATTTTGGACACATAACTAAAGAAGGTCATTGCAAATGTAAAAGGGACTTTTAAAAAGGGCAACAAAAGACAAAATGAGTAGATAATAACATTGATCACATGTGCAATCTTTCAAGAATTAAAAAGCTGTTACTAGCAGATAAACTTGGAGAAATGAGGTCCATTAGATCATGGAGAGTCATAAATGACTGAACAAAAGCAAACACACAAGCTAAGGATTCCTGGTAGTAAGACCAATTGAATAGAGCAAAATTCTGAGTAGTTTTGGACAGGATTGTTTAAATGCTTATAATTTCATTTCTTTTTCCAAAATCATAGAAAGAGTTAGGTGAAGCAGTGTCAATTACACAGCATATTAAGTTTTTTTTAAATTACCACTTCCAAATGCATTGCCATGTCCATATTCACTGATGTAGTGTTTCAGTTTATGGTTAGTGTTAGGAATCCATCAAGATGAATTTCAATAGGATTGTCTTTTTAACACTTTTTAGCCTATACCAATTGTGTCTGTGAAGGTAATGGAACTGCCAAATCTGCAGCTCATCTTAGTATACATTATTGGTGATTTTTAATTGCATTTTAATAAAAATGTTATGTTTATTAATTGCATTTCTACATTGGAATATCTATAATTTAAATTATAAAATACATTTTCTCTCCATATGTTAGAACAATTGGAAACAGTCACAGAATAAACCTAAAACAATTTAATACAATCAACAATTCAGCAAAAGTTTTAAATATATATTTATCTTCTGCTTTAAATGTTTTCTGAAACAACATCTGTGTGCTGTTTTACAAAGTTTGTAAATCTAAATGGCTACTGGTGACAGGCCATATTCATTTGTAATTTCTTCTAAAACAATGTGATCCAAGTAACTGAAACATATTTGTTATTAATATAAAATAGATTTTGGAACATTGTTCTGTCTAGCAATGAAATTCATGGGATCCTAAATTGTTAATTTTGACAGGATTCTAACTATATTCTCATGTATTGGCATATTGACTTTGGGGTGAAATTATATCTGATAAATTTATATATGTGATTAAAAAATGTTTCCAAATGGGCATCCACTGAAAATTTGAAAGACTGATACCAAGAAAAGTTTGTTTTATTCTTTATTTTTGATACTTGTTTTTTTAATTTCTAGAATTAATATGCATGAAAGAGTGACTCGTGCGGAGAGACAATTTAGAACACTTCCAGCCATTCAACAGAAATTGTTACCTCAGTTTCTCCCTCATCTTGACAAGATTCGAAAATGTGTTGACCACAATCAAGGGATCTTGCAGTCTGTTGTGAATGACTGTACCCGAATGTTTGAAAATAGAGAATATGATGGTGATGTATGTTTAGCATTATATTTCTAAAAGAGCAATTGTGTTAATTTTAATATTTTTAGTGATTCATAGATGGACTTTTTTACACATGGAATAGTTTTCAAATTACTTGGGTTAAATTAAGACAGTTCTAGGAAAATTGATAAACACTTTCTTGGATTTTACAAATGAAATACCTTTCTAGTCCATTCCAGTAAACCATGATTCTCTTTCATTAGTGATAAGGAGGAATGTTCCCACAAATAGAAGATATATAATTTATATTTCTACAAAGCTATGCCCATTCATTCAAATTTGGTCTTGTCTTTTGAAATAAAGGTAATTATATCTTTTCCAATTCTACCCTGATGTTTTGCTTGAAGCTGATTCTTACTTTTCACAGGTGCCACTATTATTTTCAGTTTATCCCTATGTCCTGGGAATTACTGAAGGCTTATAGTGCAAAACAGTATTCCAGTTTTTATTTTTCCTTTTATATTTAAACTACTCTTCAAGACATAAACAATGGTTCCTTTCTTTAGTCTTAAACTTTTCAAGTGTGATTAACAGGCTCCAAATGCTCTTCATATCAATATGAATAGTTCCATTCCCCTTTTCAGATAAGATCATGTTTTAGTAGTATAAGGAAGATTTTTTTAACAGCCATTTTCAGCTCTAGTCAGAACAAAGCATGGATATATATGCTGATTATTGTCCAGTTTTACTTTTGTGTGCTCTATCCTGATTCTACTTAATTTTAGAATTAAGAAAGACCTTACAGATATTAGTAGATTTTTTCCCAAATTTAATCACAGGCACACCTATTATTAATTGGCCTTGATCTAACTGGAGATGTTTTGATTAATAAAATCTTTTTTATCTTTTTCTTTTCCATCATTTTGGATCCTATTTAAAGAGTAAATAAGATGTCTGTGAAATAAGATCTCTGTGCCAGTCCTCTTCCTCTTCATTACTCTGAATTATCTCCTGGCTCACTTAATGAACTTGAGATGATTCATGATCTAATAGACTTTCAGCAGCACAAATACTGCCTGATTCATTTTAGGATCACTAGCTCTTTTTCGCTGGTTTTAAACTAATAGCTGTTTTTAGCAGCTACTAGACATATCTAAGTACATGTTCACCATTTAATTGCCAGTTGTGACCTCCATTTCTAACCTTCTCAGTCTCCTTAATTACCTTTTTGCTAGTCCATGTTTATTAGTGCTCTTATTAAATATAAACTAATATGTACTTCAGCACCTTATCAACAAAGCAAGTATTGACTTATATTTGGATATACATAGGGACACATGAAGTAGCAATGAGAAGCTATTGCTGAGAAAAGGCTCACCAGACAACTTCTATTCCGAACAATGAATGTCAACTTTTTGATGTGTTATATATATTGTGTGACAGTATCATGTAACATATGGGAAGAGTTGATTTAGGATATCAGTCTTAATTTAGGTTCCAGTTATTAGCCCTACATTTTTATATTAACCAAGATGTTATGATAATGTATCAGATTAATCTGTAGCTAACTTTTTTTAAATTAGGGAAATGGAAAGATTACACCAGCTTCAACTTTTGACATGGATAAATTAAAATCCACTCTGAAACAATTTGTAAGAGATTGGAGTGAAACTGGGAAACCTGAGAGAGATTCTTGCTATCAGCCTATCATTAATGAAATTGTAAAGAACTTTCCAAAAGACAGATGGTAAATACCTTTTAAAATATTTATTTAAAGAGAAGATATGCACAATAATGCATTTCTGGTAAAGGTTACTGGAACTGGTCTTTGAAAATGTGTTTAGATCATAAGGAAAAAAACCGTCATGAATGTTGGCCGTCTTTTTAAATGGCTTTGCTTAAAATGTAATTGTTATTACTAAACAGATCAGCAAAGAGAGTAAAGTTTATAATTACAAGAATAACATACCATTTAACTTTGATAAGATAGCTCTTTTATTTGCTATAACAGCATATTATAATTTGGAAAGCTATGTTGAGAAGACCACAAGATGACTTGGATATATCTTCCTTTTAATTTTTTTTAAGAGCCAGAGATGAAAGGAACGAAAAGCTCTCGATACCACAGTTCTTTTGTGAGACCTAACAATCATATTTTATCTCAAGCAGAGAGCAAATAAACCATTGGAAGGGAATAGCAGTAGTATTAGTAGTCTCTTTATAAGTGAGATTTGAGATTCTTTATTAAAAGGACATAGCATAGCAGTCTTAACCCACAGTCCAATGTTTCCCTTGTCTGTGTTGAGAGAATTCATTTGATAACTGTTGGACTAAGGTGGAAAAACGAAGTCTGTTTTAATCTTACTTTAACACAGCTTGTAATTGCTACTGCATTACTGAAGAAAAAAAAGCTAAAAAGCTCATTCATAATATAACACGAATACCCTTCCCTTGTTAGATTCAAGGCATTCAAGAATGTCTTCAAATATAGAAAAAATACGGTAAGTTTTTATATATTTAAATAAAAGGGTTTGACTTTCTCAAGAACCCCCACTTTCCCACTTAGCTTTGTGGAAAAGGGATATGTGTGTGTGAATTTTTAACTCTGTAGGGACATTAGTAAATGTTAAGGATTAGCATTTTTCTTTTTTCCTTCTTTTGAAATATAAAGGGTCCCCCCCCCTTTGATACATACCGTAAGTTTTTAAAAAAAATATTTTTTAACTAGGTAGTGGGGTTGATCATCTGCGATCTATTTTGAAATATTTTGTCCTATAGACAAAATATAGCAAAGTTTCAGCAAAGTTAATAGTGTGACTAGCCCAAATCATTAGCCATATTGACATGTCTTCTGCACAATAAAAGTCAAAGACAACAATGTTAAACTCAAGAACCAACAAAATAGAGACATTCTATGTGGATATGTCTATTTAAAGAAGCAGAAATATGTTCTTTGAATGTAATGTGGCTTATTCATCTGGAAAGTTAAGGAATACGTTGTCGTTTCTTAGCACACATATTGAAGCAAAAGATAAATAAATCTTTACTTTACTAAATTTTTACTTCTTTGTCTAAACAATATCAAAACACCACAGTCAGAAGAAATTTTTTAAATGCTATAATTAGTGATAAATACTCTGGTGAGGGTTGGGCAATAAATTATACCACTTATTTTTAATTAAGCTTAACCTCTATAGCAAGCCTGTCAAACTGGTGGCCCGCCAGCCGGATATGTCATGCACAGGCCATGCCCACCCCAGCTCTGCAAAGGCAAAAAATGTCACAATCCTGTCAGTGACACGAGTTTGACACCCATGCTCTATAGAAAATAAAATAATAGAATATTGTGACTTTATAAAAGTTCACATTTATTATTTTCATTGGAAGAATCAAAAAGTATTTTTAATGGGAAGAATGAGTTCCTTAGTTTTGAATATTTTTTAAGATATGGGTTTTATTTTTGAGAAAGCTAATTCCACTTCTTGCCTCACATTTATTTGGAATCAAGTTTCAAAACAACTGTAGAAAATCTGACAGTTGTCCAGGGAGAATGAGCCTTCCCCCCTCCATTTATCATCTCAGATTTCTTTATGCTCCACATTTTGAAAACCCCTTTCTTAAAAGAATTTGACTAGTCTAAATAAGTGTAATCATTTGTTCAGTTGGAAAAAGACTTCGGTTTTTCAAGTGCAAATTTATTCCATTTATATTTTACTTTTCTGCTCAATCAGGAACTTGGGAAAGCTGAATATTGGATTATATTCAGTATTCCAAGAGCAGATTTCTGCTTATACAGGATTACCTGCTCCAAATCTGTTACAGACGGTCTTAGTCCTGGAACATGCTTGAACCTCTACACAGAAATATAGGCCAAGATTAACAGTCCTATCTACTGACCGAAATAGAATCTTTCAGTGGAATGATACTGGCTCCAATACAATATTGGTGGATGCACATAGTCATAATAAACTTTGGTGAAATTCAAACTGGTTTGGGGTTTTGCAAAAGAAATACAGTAAATATTATTCTTGTGTATTAATATTAGAATTTACATTGAGCAAAAGTGGAGCCAACAACCTAGACAAGTACACTGGCTCTTTGTAATTATTCTCTGGACAAGGAGAGGACTTGAGATTGTCCACAAGTGCTCTATACAGATAACTCCTTGCAAGAACCTGTGAGACAGATTTCTGGCAGGTTTAGACTTCTGGGAGACAATGGAACAACCATCTTGCTGAAATTGTGCTTTGTGCCTTTAAAAAGGACATTGGATTCACATACTTTTCAAATCAATTTTGGCTATTGCTTGTTAACTGCTTTTCAGCTATTAAAAATCTTTGCAATGACAAGTTTTACAGTTTTCTTCAATCCTTAGCAAAATAAGTTTTAATTGCAAGTTTATGGACTTACAAAAATACATTATTTTTTAGAATAAGCAGCAAAAGAATGATTATAACTTTGATTTTTGAAAGTTACAAATAAGGATCCAGATGAATTTGAATTAATCCTTTCTGCGGGAAAATGGTTTGGTTTCAATTTTTAAAAAAAGGATGAGATTGGGAAGGTTGAGAGAGAACCAGAAGGAACTAAACATTATAATTAGAGGAGATTAATACTTATATTTGATTTACTAATACAGAATGAAGCAAAATATTTGATATTGGACATATTGAAGACTGTTTTTGGACAATGGCGTCAAATTAATTTTTAGATTTTTTTTACTTTTTAAAATTAAAATTAATTTTTATTTGTTACAAAAGGGGAAGTTATATAAGTTACAATTATTTAAAAATAGATTTAAAAATGACAGGCTACAAGAATGATATGAAAAAGCTGCTCTATTGGATATATAAAATGCTACTATAATTATATTTTAATTATAATTAAAAAGATATACAAATAATAAAACAAGAGTGGCCCGGTTTCTTATATTGGATTTACAAAAGAGGCTTGTTAAAGCTTTTAAGGGAAGGATCAAAGAAATGAAAAGTAATAAAGCCTAGTACATTATTTGAAGGGATCAAAATTGCTAACAAAAAAGGAAGGATTCTAAAATTGATTTCTTTGACCAAGGTTAAAATAGATATGTTGTTATTTCTGGTAACTCTTCATAGACATTTTGCTGATTAGGACTGAAATGAGGCAGTTAAAGTTTTTGTTTATTTATAAGATATGGGACATTTATTTTAACAGAAAGTGGTAAGTTCCTAAAATTGCTTAGACTTGTTGGAATGAAGGGAGATGACTGACTGACTGATATATATGATGTGTTTTCGACCTTGAGTTATAAAGTAATAAGACAGTATTAAAAAATAATATATAAAAGTTCTTTAAAATACTGATGAGCTTATATAGCTTAGTGCTATATGTCTAAAAAAAGTCAGTATCTCCTGATTGTTTATATTATACATTTCACTTGATTAAAGATTGAGTCATTATTCAGTCATTTGATTTTACTAAGTCTTTCCTAGTATGCTTGCCTTATCCAGATGTGTATAGAGATTTTTCCTGAAGATGGGCAAAGAGCAATATAAACAAATTGGTTCCTGTTTTTGTACTGAAAGAAATTTGTTAGGAACAATAATAGCACTCAAACTTATATACTGCTTCACACTGCTTTACAGCCCTCTCTAAACGGTTTACAGAGTCAGCATATGCCCCAACAATTTGGGTTCTCATTTTACCCACCTCGGAAGGATGGAAGCAGGGGTGGGTTCCTGCCAGTTCTAACCTATACAAGAGGTTCCACAAATCTACAGTGCCGTTTAGAACTGGTTCCAGCTCCCTCCCCCCACTTGTCCGCACATCATCAAGATGAAGAGCAAGAGGAGGAATTCTGGGAGTTGAAGTCCACAAGTCTTAAAGCAGTCAATGACCTCCCCTGGTTTTTTTTTTTCTAAAGGGTTAGGGGTGCAAGGGTCTTGTAACTTGACAGCTTTAAGACTTGCGTGCTTCAAATGCCAGAGTTTCTGAGCAAACATTTTGGTTGCTAAGCAA